ACACGAGTCTCATTAAGTGTCCAGTTTAAGGGTATTACACAGAAACATACCAAAGGAACATGAATCAAATATGTACTTTATTCATTTACAATAAACTCATAATGTACATCATTCTGATTGAAGCTAAGGGCATACAAAAGCTGTCTAACACTTGTCTAGTGGCATTTACCACCAACCTTCCATCAACAAGCGAGTAAGCAACCAATAGTGGGAAAGTAACAAGAAAAAACATCATGTACAAAATAAGTGCAGAAATTTAAACTAGAACCAATTTAGGGATCAATAAAACATGGAGTATGAGACAAGAGGATCTTTAGATGCATAAGGTGTAAACCTTAAACCTGGGGTTTTAGCTTCATGAGTCACCATTTTTTTGAGAAAAATGAGACAACAATGAGGAAAAATGTAGAAGTATGCAATGATACTACATTTTCATCTAGGAAATGATTCCAGTTCTTTTGCTAGTGTGAGATTATGGAATTAATAGACAATTAGACACTATGAATGCTTACAAGAAACTAATTGGAAGAGTAAAAAAGCAAAAGAAATTGATGGTTACAAAATATGGTAGATGAGAGAAGTAATTAATAGAAATGGAGTGACAATAATAGTAGACAAGGATCTAAGAAATAAAATTGTAAATGTTAAAAGAATTGGAGATAGAATAATTTTAATTAGACTTGTTTTAGGTATCATTAATATAATTAGTGCTTATGCACCATGGTGTCACCGGAAGCGTGTCGTTTACCATTTTGGAACACCAGTTTAATAATTTATAAATTTTTCCAATCCTCACGTAACCTTAGACAACGTAGTACGTGGTGAGGAAGGGGTCGAACCCATAGGGAAGCGAGGGAAAAATTATTATTTTCTCGTTCCAGACAAATAAAAAGAAAATGGAATTGGGAATTGTAGAAAATAAGAAAATAAAATCTATTAATGCTGAAATTAAAGGTTCGGAATTAAACAAGACAATAATTAAAATTCAGAAATTAAAGGAGTGCTGAAATCAACAAAAAAATAAACAAAAGTGATCCAAAGTTCGGATCCAGTGGCGGTAGCTGCAAATTGGCCGGATAGCTTGCAGGAACCCCTCTTGACAAGAACTGGGCGTCATTCCCTTTTACAACCCTCGAACCCCTCGAGACACCTTAGCCTTGAATCGGACGAATTCGGACCTACAAAACGAACAAAATTTAAATCTAAAGGAGTGCTGGAATAAAAATAATAGAAAAGAAAATAAAGATAATAAAAATATGGTTGATCAGATCCAGTGGCGGTAGTTGCAAATTGGTTGAATAGCTTGCAGGAACCCCTCCTGACAAGAACTGGGTGTCCCCCCTTTCTACAACCCTTGAATTCTTCAAGAAACCTTAGCCTTGTGAACTGGGTGAATTGACCAACCCTTTCTCCAGGGCCCCTGGGATCCTTTTTATAGACAAGGGTGGACATAACTGGGATTAGAGAGAAAGAGGGGGGCGGTAGCTGGGTTTTAGCAAAGATATGGGTGCCCTAGGGTTTAAATGAAGGGCTAGGATGGTTCTAAGGTGATCCTAAAGCTGAGAAGAAAAGGAGAGGGCGCCCAATATTATGTAGGGCTGAGATTTGGGGACCTAGAAATGGATGGTGGAGATTGAGGCGCCTAGGGTTGAAAGGTGGAGATTAAAAGGAGTGGGTGGTGCCCTAGAGTGAATGGTTGAGATAGATAATGGAATAGAGGGATGAGATCTAGTGGCTAGGGGCTGAATGGTGAGGATTAGAAGGTAGGTGGCGCCCTAGGGTTAAAAAGCTAAAAAGAGGGTGCCCTAGAATGAATGGTGGAGATTAGAAGGAATGGAAGGTGGAGATTTAGCAGCTAGGGGTGGCTAGGGTTTCTTAAGGATGAAAAGAATGAGTTAGAAGGCGCCTTAGGGTTTGCTAAGGAGAGGGGAGCATGCTAATTCAGTAGGAGGGGCGCCATTTTGGGTTTAGCAGATAGGAGGCGCCTTCCTATGCTCAGTTTTTCACAAAAACACCCCCTCTCTCAGCTGGACTTCACACCGGCTTCCCAAAAACTGCATTTCAGCCATGAAACTTCCCCAATTTTCCACAAGATTTGCACAGAGACCCTCAGAGTTCACAGTATTGAATTTAATTGGGAAGAGGGCACATTTTTACTATTCTAAAGCCAGAAATACCCCTGAAATGATGCCCTTGAGGCATCAAACTACAGAGTTATCACACCACAAGTGGGTTTAGAAAGCATTAAAAGACAATTTTTTTTTGATAAATAACTTAAATTTTATTAACAAACTTAATGTAACATCATTACAAGCATCCCTTAGAGAGGCACAAGCTGCTACCTCTCATACAATAAAGAAAATTACATTGTGCCAAAATAAAAATGACCTATTCACCCCTTGCTTAGACAAAGCATCTCCCATTCCATTCACCCCAACTTCTTGTAACAACTATTTCAGCCAAACAAGTTCACATGTAGTGTGAGCCATCACTCTATATTCTGCTCCAGCATTGCTTGTAGGCACAATATTCTGTTGTTTGCTGTTCCACGTAACCAAATTTCTAGCAAGAAATGTACAATATCTTGAAGTGGACCTCCTATCTGTTACTGAGTGGTCAATACTACACCGATGTAAACCAAACTCCTGCTCCACACTACTGCCTATCAAACCAAGCCCAAGGTGACTGTTTTAGGCCATAAATTGCCTTATTAAACTTGCACATGTTCCTAACAGTAATAAGGAGGAACATAGGAAAAAGGGTGCTATTTTGGTGAGACTACATTTACATGTAAACAAAACAGCAATTAATTTTTTCATTTTTTGGCATTTGTTTTGAATTTTCTGGAAATTTTCTTTCTTTTTTTGATTTTTTTGTATTTTTGCGCCTTGCTTCAAAAAGGCGCATGCCTTGGGCACAAATTACGCCTTGTGCCTTGGGTGCAAATTGCTCCTTGTGCTTTTTTTGCACCTTGTGCTTTTAAAACATTGAATCAATGTTATGAGAGGAGGGGTGAACATCTGATATGGTGTCCAAAGTTTAGAAGGCCTTGGCTGGATAGAGAAGTGGAGGAATGCATATCTCTACTGGAGAAACTAGAGGAAGTGAAGATATCATCTCAGACAAGGGATGAACTTTGGTGGAAAGAGTGCTCAATGGGAAGTTCTCTGTTAAATCATTCTACATGGCTATACTCAGGGATGATTTAGAACAAAATCAGATAGATGGTGTATGGGGAAATCCAGTTCCTCCAAGGGTTGAAGCGTTTGCTTGGCTTGTGGCAATGGACATTATATTGACTGTGGAGCATCTGATATCCAGCGGTTTCAGCAAGGCTGGCATGTATTTTCTCTGTAAATAACAGGAGGAAACTGTCAGCCATCTATTCTTCTTCTGTAAGGTTTCTGGGTTTTTGTGGAAGATCTTCATGGCTTTGTTCTGGTTAACAAACTTTCAGCCAGAACTTGCTGCAGAAATTTTTTCTACATGGCCGAAGATAAGAGGAAGCAAGAAAGCAAGATTGCTCTGGATATGTATCCCATTCGCAGTTTGCTGGAATATATAGAAGGAAAGGAATAGAAGAATTTTTCAAGACAGATATTGTATTCTGGACAAGATTATGGCAGCTGTTAGCAACTTGGTTGCAAACTTGGTTCTGTTATCTCCAGAATTTAATCAAGTTTCTAGGGAGGATTTTGGGGGACAAGTTGGGAGATATTTTGGGAGTTCAACTTTGTAACTTGAATGATTTATTTTAATTCTTTTCCCTAGATGTTCTTTTCTGTTGTTGTTTTGTTTGGGGGTGATGCCTTATCACGTACTAAATTGTAATCTTTTTTCTTATTTAATGAAATTTCATTTTACCATAAAAATATAATAAGGGTGTGGAATGAAGTGGCACAGTCTTCAAAAGAAAAGGAAAAGGGTGGTAACGGAATGGAAGCACCCAGCAAGTAACAAAATAAAACTGAATTTTGATGGGAGCTCCATGGGAAACCTAGGAATGGAAGGTATAGGGGGTGTTTTAGAGACTCTTTAGGCTAGGTGATCACTATATATTGGGACCTATAGGGGTTGGAGATTCATTGAAGGCTGAACTGGTGGCTTTATTACAAGGCTTAGAATTTGCTAAGCATTCTAACTTCAAGAACATGGAAGTTGAAGGGGACTCAAAACTGGTCTCCTGAACCACTACTAGGTACCTTGTGCCTTGGATTTATAGGCATGCCCTTGGGGAAATAAAAGGCCTGTCAAAGGATTTGAACGTTACTTTTGTTTGGATCAGGATTGCAAATGGGTTGGCCGAGACAAAAGCAGGGGGTCTATAGGCAGCAGCTGTTTTGGCATTAGTGTAACTCTTTTTTTCTTGGCTGAGACAAAATCATTGTTCTGGTTAACAAACTTTCACATATTAATACAATTAATAGATTTTCTTGCTGATAAAAAAAGTATCTTTGATCTATAGTGATTTGTGCAGCTCTTACTAATCAGCTGTACTTGTTATTTATTTTTGTATATGTTATTATTACAATATCTATTACTTCTCAGAATTAAAAAGGGGCCATTACCCAATGTGGGTCCCAGCTATCTGGATTCTTG